AATGAAGTAACAGCAGCCAGAACAAAAAGCCACCCGCGCTAATGCCCGAAAAGCAAAAAGGCAAATGGCTGTTGTATCAGGGAATTAGATTAACCATTTAATTAAATAGTCTACTATCAACGCTCTGTTCTGCCACCTCCTAGCATCTAGCGTACTGCCTGACAGGGCTGATTTCGCAGTTAATTTAACAGGCAGCGGTTAATGATAACTTAAAGTCTCGGCCAAATGAAGCTTCTGTGAAGTAGTGGGTCGCCGTCGGAGGGTTCAGATGAAATGGATTAAACTATGCTGACAAAAATGCTGTTCATTTCCAAATGCCTGCGGATGCCATTAGCAACGTTTTGTAAAGATTTATTATCTTGGTAAATTATATGTATTCATTCGAAGCAAACATAAGTTAGCATCCCACTTTCCTTATAAAATAATAATAAAGGAGGGAGGGAGTCCCACTGACGAAACAAACATCCCTATCAAGAAAACGGTAGTGGAAATAATGCCGAGACTGACTGAATCTAGAAAGAAATACCAACATTTTGGCACACACGAGGTAATGAAATTGCGCTCTGAAAGGCAAATAAACGGAATCATGCCCAAACTTTTTTTTTTTTAAAAAAAAAGCAGACAGCCTTTTCAAATACGAAGTACTTATTCTGCTCTATACAAAGATGCAAATTCAAACTTCCCTTTTTCAGAAGAAGCTGGGGGGAAGTGTTCGCACCAGCAGCACATTTGCGAAAATACGCTATTCATACGCAAGCTGAAAACGATCCTCCAACATTAAAAACAGTCGTATTTTACTAAGAAGGGAGAGGAGGTTTCTAAAGAAAATATGATTTTATCCACTCATCTCATGTATGCTTTCTAACACATAAATCTGCTTTTTCAACTATCATGCTAGAAGTTTAGTTCTGCACTTCACATTTTAAGTCCACATCAAACCTGGAATTAAATACAGAGAAAGAGCGTGGAGAGTAAACTGCAGCTTAAATGAGAAAAACTTCTGTAAGAAAATAAACACTGAAACCTAATGCTCAATCATTTCCCTCAGCAGCAAGAAAAACAGCATTAAATCACCTATCCACGTGGGAAACGGATTTTTTTTTTCCGCTGGTCTCTTCCCCCCTTACAATAAAACAAGATTAAGGATTTCAATATTGAAATGTTAACCATCATGATTCGACGAAAGTTTATCTAAACAGAGCCTGTACTTTTGTCTGGAAAATCAAACGCCTCTCTGCGCAGAAAAGATCTATCTTTAATAGGATAGAAATTGCAAAAGTCCGTTTCCCTAGCAAAGCAAGAAAGAGAAGAGCACCCTTAAACTATTTCCAACTTAAAAAAAAATTATCGCTATTATTTTTTATTTGTTTTTGATTATTTGCTCCCTTCACTTTCGAAACTGGCACAGTAAAGATTTACTCAGCTAGTTACAACGACCGGTCTTTTTTTTGAAGGAAAATTGTTTTAGTCGTTTGCCGGCCTGATGCCCTTTTCCGCAGTTTTATGAGGCTGCGTTAGTTACCATTAGCCGTTTAATGTTAAATTGTAATTTTGGGACTATTTTGTGCCACCGGGTTTTTTGAGAATGCTACCTCCCGGCTGAATTCATCAGGAAGTTCTGCTTAAAAACAAATCCTCTATATAATCCTTCGCCATTTAGCAGATCTTCAGTTTTTCCAAAAGCTAACTGAACACTGAAAACTACTCGTAGGCTCTAGAGAGAAGACAGTTTTAGATCTGAAAGGATGCAAGCTACCCAAGCCTCTGGTTCCATTTATATAATATATATTTACATACGTAGAAGGCTTTTGGCTTTTGACAGTTTTAGTCTGCTGGAGATATATTACAGTGAAATTATGGGCAGAGGGAACAAATCAAGCGTTTTAATAGCTCGTGAGAATTATATAGCTATTATGAGAGAAAGATGCACCTCATTCAACATCTCTTCTCGGTATACGTCCTAACTTCATATACCTTCACCAAATCTATTCAATGTAAGCGGTTTGCATTTAGATTTCCGAGAGCAAGACGGAAACTGCATCCCGATTACTATGTGTGTGACTCTCCTGGTGTTTTCCTCACAGAAAACTCCCTTATTTCAATAATAAATCCGAAACCTACCTATATTCTGTGCATAGGAACCTTTCAGACGTAAAAATATGCGGACAAACGCACACCGATTATTTCAGCCTGTTCCCAGCCCCGCGTGTGCGCGCCGATGAGGGGTGTATATCTTTCTGTACGTGGTTATTTACAATCAGGCCCTATGCAAGCACTCCCCAGGCAGATGGCAATTCGCTCTTCTGCCGGCGAGACCGTTTGGCGAGTTACACTGGAAGCGCAGCTCGCTCTCAGGGAGGCAGCTCCTCGCCATCCTGACTCCGCCAAGACCTCCTTCAATCTGTGACACATTTCACCGTGCTCCAGAGCCTCCTGCTACCTGCCTCTAGTATTTTAGACGACTCACTGGGTCTGTCCCAGGGCTTGCATCTCTTCCCCCAAGGGAAAAATAAGCAAGTGCCCCCCCTCCTTAGTAAATCTATCCAACAGCCATGTCCTTCCTCCCTCTTTCAGAAAAGCTTTTGCTTTGGGTGCATAATTTTCCTGTCTGCCTCTACCTGTCCTCCCTTCGCAACGAAATAATGACTTTTTTTTTTGCTGTCCGGGGGCACCGGGGGACAAAGATCGCCCCCTCCTCCCCGCCTGCCCCCTGCAGCCGGCAGAGCTGCACAAGCACCCCCGCGGAGGCAGCGCGAAACTCCCACGGGTCCTCCCACTCCTGCCTTTTCCTCGCCTTAACGCGCGGCCGGGACCCCCCACGGCCGCCCAAACCCCTTTGGAGGTGGGGGGAGAAGGAGGGAAACCCCCCCGGCCCCGCTGCTCGCCCCAGAGAGC